TCTCTCTCTCTCTCTGGTCTCTCTTCGGTCTCTTTCTAGTCTCTCTTCCCGTTCTCTCTCTGGTCTCTCTCTGGCCTCTCTCTCTGGTCTCTCTCTGGTCTCTCTCTCTGGTCTCTCTCTCTAGTCTCTCTCCCTGTTCTCTCTCTGGCCTCTCTCTCTGGTGTCTCTCTGGTCGCTCAGTTAAAGGTGATCTCTTAGGCTGTAGATCCAGGACTGAGGCTGTCATAGGAGCCAGAGTCCATTGTAGCCCAACTTCACCATGAGCACTTCCCTATAGTGCTTCACAGAGCTAGCATGTTAGCATGTTAGCCTTATCCACCTCTTTAAAGTCTCTGCCTCAAACCAGTGGAACGTTCCGGTCCACACCAGTAAATACAAATCTATCCCTGTTAAAAGAACTCAGACCTGAATTCCAGTGATTTCAGTCCGGACTCAGACCCAGATTTCCGCGTTCTTCCAGCTCCAATAAAGTTGCGTCGGTAAAAGACGTTTGTAGCATATTCTCGCGGCTTTTCCCCTTTGTGCCAAACGCTGGAGGTTCCGGAGCTCGTCGCCGGCGGAGACACACCGGGTGTATTTGATTGGTTCCCACCGATCGCGGGACAAAAGTAGGGATTAGAAAAACAGTAGAAACATATTAGAGGAATATTTCAGAACTTGGAATTTTAAAGATTTTTAATAATGAAACCGAAAGAATAAAAAATATTTCGCACAATAAATCTATTTTTGTAGCCGTTTTGGAACTTGCATGTGTCGTCCCTCGTCCGTTTTGTCAAAATTGATCTGAATGTTGAGTCTGCGCGACTACGGTCCAGGGTTTGAGAACCGTCCCATTTTACTTTGATCAAACAGTCGTCTGTCGGAGCTCAGAATCTCAATCAGAATCTCTACGTCAAACACCCCCAGGGTTCGGCCGATCGGGGGAAACTCAGGTTTGATTTGCACATTTTTATATTTTATTGTGTTTTTGTTTTTTTGGGTGAAATGGAAAATCTTGTTTCGTCTCGATTCTGGATCGTGGCAACAGTTGAAACACTTTACTTCACAGAGCAGCAACTGGGAGAACATGAGAACTCTCTGGTCTCTCGCTCTCTATGGTCTCACTCTGGTCTCTCGCTTTCTCTCTGCTCTCTCTCAGGTCCCACGCTCTTTATGGTCCCTCTTTGGTCTCTCTGTGGTCTCATTTTGGGCCTGTAATATTAAAAAAAAAAAAATCTGACCAAGGAGCTCTGTCCTAGAGTGCCCAGTAAAATAGTCCTTAATGTTTCCATAGCTACCACCAGTCACCACAAATGATTTGAATTGATTTTGACCAATCAGAAAGCTCCAAGTCTGATAGTGGGCGGGGCTAACAAGTTTCACTCTTGTTGAGCCAGAGCAAGTTGTCCATCTGTATACAGTCTATGTTAGCATTGTCCATCTGTATACAGTCTATGTTAGCATTGTCCATCTGTATACAGTCTATGTTAGCATTGTTCATCTGTATACAGTCTATGTTAGCATTGTTCATCTGTATACAGTCTATGTTAGCATTGTTCATCTGTATACAGGTAAAGAACTGCTGTTTTTGTGAAAAGTGTGTTAATTTTTAAGCATAATTCCAAAAGCAGTGGTTTCATCAAAGTGGTTTTAACAGAAAAAACAGTCGTTCTCTTCGTCCAAATCTGCTCTGTGAAGTAATGTGTTGGAAAAAGTCACAATATTTGTCAAGAATCTTAAAACAACAGATGTTTTTATTTGGTTTAAATCAAGGTTTTTCTCTGCGACTGTGACGACGACATCTCAGGAGATTGTGGCTCCGCTTTTCTACTTTTGCCAAAAACCGTAGCTGTAGAAATGAAACTGTCTAAAAACGTTGGTGTTTGGTTTGTTTTCTTTGGTGAGAAGCTGATCCTGAACCAGTAAATACACCCGGCTGTGCGGCGTCTTTGTGTTTTGTCCCAGTAATAAAGCTGTCCCCAAACCACATCGTGTTTAATAAAAATGACGGAGAGAAACGTCGCTCATTTAACTGTGAAAAATGTGTGTTTTTAACTATTTCTTGTACAATTCTACAGATTCTTTTATGGATCGGGGCAAAAGGAAGTCCCTCTTATTATCAATGTAACAGTGTTATCAAATTCTAATGAACAGATGAAGATATTAAAAAGGAGAAAACCCCCTCTGTGTCTTTGTTTTTACTCGAGTTTTTCTTCAGTCACAAACCTGCAGCTGTGTTTAGATCCATCCATCTGGTCTCTCTGGTCTTTCTCCCTCTGTTCTATGGTCTTTTTCTCTCTCTGGACTCTGCTCTCTCTCTCTGAAGTCTCTCTCTCTCTCCACCTATCTCTCTACCTATAGTCTCCCTCTGGTCTCCCCCTCTCTCTCTCTCTCTAGTCTCCCTCTGGTCTCACTGGTCCCTCTCTCTCTCTGGTTTTTCTCTCTCTTCTCTCCCTCTGGTCTCTCTCTAGTATCCCTCTGTTTTTTCTCTCTTTGGTCCCTCTCTCTCTCACTCCCTCTGGTCTCTAATCCCTCTACCTTTAGTCTCCCTCTGGTCTCTCAGGTTTCTCTCTCTCTGGACTTTGCTGATGTGAAGATCCATAAACACATATGAAACTATAGTGATAGAATCTGTTTTAGAGCCAGGCACCAGAGACTTTTCACAGAATTCTTGCGCGGTTTGAAAGTTGCGTAGCTCAGCTTTAATTGATATAGAATTATCCGAGACTTTCCGAGTGGGATGTTGTAAAGCAGTTTCGTCAGCAGCCACAGAGACAGAGCTCAGTCTGATCTATCATTCATAAGTCCTCATTTAAAATCATCTGAAATATTTAAAGTGGTGGAGGTCGCCGTCAGTGACCTCCTCACCGTTATTACTGCACCGTCTCAGTCCTGAAGTAATAAAAGAGAAACAATATCTGCTCCTCAGACCAGAGGGAGACTAGAGAGAGACCAGAAGGAGACCAGAGGGAGACTAGAGAGAGACCAGAAGGAGACCAGAGAGACTAAAGACAGACCAGAGAGAGACCAGAGGGAGACCTGAGAGAGACAAGAGAAAGACCAGAGGGAGACCATAGAGAGACCAGAGAGAGACAAGAGAGACCAGATGTAGACCAGAGAGAGTAGAGAGAGACCAGAGGGAGACCATAGAGCAGGGATGTCAGACCGGTCCTCAAAGGGCCGGTGTGGCTGCAGGTTTTAGTTCCAACCTGAGCAGGAGAACACCAGACTCCACCCATTTCCTCAGGTGTGACCAGTTTTAACCTTAAGATTTGAGGAAATGGGTGGAGTCTGGTGTTCTCCTGCTCAGGTTGGAACTAAAACCTGCAGCCACACCGGCCCTTTCTGGAACCGGTTTGATATCCCTGCCATAGAGAGACCAGGGGGAGACCAGAGAGAGACCAGAGGGAGAGCAGAGAGACTAGAGGGAGACCTGAGAGAGACAGAGACCAGAGGGAGACTAGAAAGAGACCAGAGGGAGACCTGAGAGAGACCAGAGAGAGACCTGAGAGAGACCTGAGAGAGACCAGAGAGAGACTAGAGAGAGACCAGAGAGTGACTAGTGGGAGACTAGAGAGAGACCAGAGAGAGACCAGAGAGAGACCAGAGAGAGACCAGAGGGAGACTAGAGAGAGACCAGAGAGAGACCAGATGGAGACCAGAGAGTGACTAGAGGGAGACTAGAGAGAGACCAGAGCGAGACCAGAGGGAGACTAGAGAGAGACCAGAGAGAGACCAGAGAGAGACCAGATGGAGACCATAGAGTGACTAGAGGGAGACTAGATAGACCAGAGAGAGACCAGAGGGAGACTAGAGAGAGACCAGAGAAAGACCAGAGACCGACCAGAGAGAGACCAGAGGGAAACCAGAGGGAGATCATAGAGAGACCAGAGAGAGACCAGATGGAGACCATAGAGTGACTAGAGGGAGACTAGAGAGAGACCAGAGAGAGACCAGAGGGAGACTAGAGAGAGACCAGAGAGAGACCAGAGAGAGACCAGAGGGAAACCAGAGGGAGATCATAGAGAGACCAGAGACCAGGGAGAGACTAGAGAGAGACCTGAGGGAGACCCGAGGGAGACCCGAGGGAGACTCGAGGGAGACCAGAGAGAAACCAGGCAGACCAGACGGAGACCAAAGAGAAACCAGAAAGAGAGACCAGAGAAAGAGACCAGAGAGCCTTCTGAAGCTCTGACAGATATTTCCATTCAATTTTTCTTGTGGAAAATAACATGTTAAAATTATATTCATTTATTCTTTTTTATTGCTGTAATTATCCTTTAGTCTCCATTGTTTAAGATTATTCAAACTAGATTAAAACAAATAGTATCATTAACATGTTCCCGGAGAGTGGGAGATTTCAGGCTATAATAAGTTTATATGTGTTTGTGGTTAGAATGGAGGATGGTGTCGCCTCCCTCTGCACGCGCCTGATATGAGGCTGATGCGTGGTGTACAGGCGCCCTCTGGTGGTCAAGCTTCAGTATTACAGCAGCAACAGGCATCTCATCAGAGTGGGGGACTCCTCTTCATTTATGACGAAAATATATTTATAGAATTCCATAGAATTAGGGAGAGACCAGAGAGTGAGGGGACCAGAAAGAGAGGGGGACCAGAAAGAGAGAGGGACCAGGGATGGACCAGGGAGAGAGCAGAGAGACCCACTGAGAGAAACCAGGTGTTCTACTGCTACGCTATGACCCCCATGTTGAAAAAAGAGCACTCAGACAGAAGGGACGGGGGGACGTCTCCATATAAAGCAAAGCTGGAGGTGGAAGTGGGGATCGTGAGCGCAACGGTGATTGAAACATGAAACATTTATTATCCACTTTCTCTCTCTTTAATACAGTTTCTCAGCATAAACTCTGTACATAAATATGAAACGGCTGAGAGAAACCAGAGAAAGAGTAAACATTGTTCAAAAATAAACATTTTGGTATAAATTAAGTTCAGGGGCTAAAGTCCCGCAGTGCTGTAGGGTTTGAGTAAACTGTCAGTCTCTTGAGCAGAGAATCTGGACGTCACTCACTGGAATTACTGTTCTCCGAATCTGAAAGAAAAGAAGAAAAAAACAGCAAGAAATTAGTAGCAGTAGCAGTAGTACTCTAACTGAGTATATTCTCACCGCTGCGTTCTCTGCTGCGGCGTTTTGCTTCTGCTCGTTCGTCTGAGTCGAAATACCAAACTGTGACGGCGAATCTGTGACAAACAGTTACAACTTATTTTCCACAAACACAACTTTCTAAAGGAAAGAGCAGAACATGCAACAGCCCAAACCCTGAGAGCTTCAATCACCCAAACACAGCTCCACGGCTCGTTACGCTGTCGTTCTGCAGTCTCTGTGACGTGTGCAGCAGAGAAGACAGTTGGACTCTATTGTTGCTAAACGACTGCCATGACAAGTCGCAAGGCGGGTTAACCCTTTAAGCACCAGAGGTTTTTTTCCAAAACGCTCAATTTTGACATCTTAATTTCAAAAGGCTATAACTTAAAAGTGATGAGAGATAAAGGCTTTCTGTAAATTAGAAAAATATTAACGATGGTCCAAAGTTTATGACGTCATTTGGCGTTAGAAATAGTGAATAGTGAATAGTTTAGAATTTTCATACAATATTTGTATTTTTCTAACTGACAGACATATATTGATCACTAGGACATGAACACACACAGAACACACACTGTAACATTGTAAATGTTCATGAAAATAGTAAAAAATACAAATCATGCTGCTGCTGTGAGCAGTCTGCCCGGACGCTCGGCTCCAGGTGAAGCGCGTCACCGCGACCCTCCTGCTGCTGCTGTCTCCCCCGCTCTCTCTCTCTCATCTCCCCTGATCTCTCTCTCGTCTAACACACACAAGACAAGGCTTCTCCAACACGTTACTGTCCCGGTGATTACGGGAGGCATTAAAATAAATATGTGGGAAGCACTTTTAGCGGAGACTTTGGCGGAAACTTACGCGAGGCGGGAGGTCGCTCCGACGCGAGTTCCAGGCTTGTTTTCCGCAAATCTAACCTGTCTCCGAACCTCCCAATGACTGGCCTTACTCTGAGAAACACTGTTCCCACTGCAGACCCTGTGCAAAGTGTCCAAAGTTAGTGTTTGGTGCGGTACAACACTTGCAGGCTGCCCTGCAGCTGCATTCGCTTCACTATGATTTCTGCAACGCGGTCTTGCTCGAATATTTTGTATGAGAGCATGACGTTTTTTGGGGCCAGGGAGGTAGTCTGACATGTCTGCCAACTAGTGGCAGGGAGTATGAATGAATTTTGACACTCAGTTGGACACACTCGGCCGTTTGCCTGTCGTAATCGACAACTCCCAGGTGCAGATCGTAGAGGAGTGCAAGTTTCTGGGTTTAACTCTGTCTAACGACCTGAAATGGGTTAAAAACACTGACCGAGTCGTTAAGAAAGCTCGTCAGCGTCTCTACTTTCTGCGTAAACTTAGAGAATTTACCACTAACTCTAAAATTCTGCTTAACTTTTATCGCTGCACCAGTGAGAGTTTACTTGTTGGTTCTGTGTCTGTGTGGTTTGGAAACATCACAGATAAAGAAAAGAGAGCTTTAAACAAGGTGCTCCGCTCTGCAAAGAGGACTGTAGGCTGTGAGCTTCCTGTTCTGGAGGTTCTTTATAAATCCAGACTTTTAAACAAAGCTCTTAGGATTGTCAATGACTCTTCTGGTCACCCTGGGAAAGCCATGTTCCAGCTTCTTCCCTCTGGCAGAAGATATCGCTCTCTGAGATGCAGGACATCTCGTTACGCTAACAGTTTTTATCCACAGGCTGTTATCACTGTGAACAGAGCACTTTAATGATTTGCACTTGTTTTGAACTGTTTTAGTCGATCGATTTCACAGTGACTTTTGTTTACTGTTTTATTTGTTTTATTTTTGTCTTTTAATGTTGTTTTATGTCTGTATTTGTCTGTGCACACTGGAGACTTTTGCTAATGTATTCCAATGTGGTTTTTTTACTGCAAATGGCAAATAAACTGAATCTGAATCTGTTTTAAACAGTACCGCAGCTTGTCGACTAAGTCGACCGTGGCGCCTAGAGGGTTAAAGGCCCGATTCCATTAGACTCTCCGTGGGAAAGGAAGAGGAGAGAGAGACCAGAGAAACACCAGAGGGAGAGATCAGAGAGAAAGACCAGAGAGAGAGAGAGAGAGACCAGAGGGAGAGACCATAGAGAAAGACCAGAAAGAGGAACCAGAGAGAGATCTGAAAGAGATCAGAGAGAATTACAGCTAACTATGTGGTTAGCTGTAATCCTTGTCTTTCATTGTGGTTCTCACTTTGTGGCTCTGATTGGCTGCTGCAGCTGTCACTCACCTGGGGGCGTAGGAGGGCAGGACCTGGTGTGGGTTCCGTCGGTCAGACCAGAACAGCAGCAGTCGATCGAACAGTGGCTCGATGTCAACGACGAAAGACTTTCCTTCAGGAAACATCCTCAAGGCCCCGCCCTGAACCTGAACCAGAGCAGAGGGCGGTCACTAAAACACACATGCACACACACACATGCACACACAAACACACACACATGCACACACAAACACACACACACACACACAAGCACACGCGCGCATCCCATCCCACTGGAAGATTTAATTCATGCAGCAACTCTCCTCCTCCCCATCTCAAACTTACTGCAATAAAAATACAATTCTGATAAACCCTGTATAAAACCCAGACTTAAGAAGTAGTAACAGCAGTAATAACAGTAGTAGTAACAGTAGTAGTAACGGTAGTAGTAACAGTAGTAGTAACGGTAGTAGTAACGGTAGTAGTAACAGCAGTAGTAACAGCAGTAGTAACAGTAGTAGCAGCAGGAGGAGCAGCACTCACGCTCGAGCTCCAGTCCTTGTTGAGGTAGTAGATGCAGGTGAGGCAGCGCCCGTCGTTGTTGGGGTTGTCCACATGTTTGACGTATCCAGCTCCTCCTCCAGGAAAACAGGCAAACATCGCCTTCAACAAACATACACACCATGTGAGAACATCACCCTCCAGAGACCAGAGAGAGACCAGAGAGAGACCAGAGACAGAGAGAGACAAGAGAGAGACAGTGAGAGACAAAGAGAGAGACAGAGAGAGAGACCAGAGAGAGACAGAGAGAGAGAGAGACCAGAGAAAGACAAAGAAAGAGTCCAGAGAAAGACAGAGAAAGAGAGACCAGAAGAGACAGAGAGAGAGACCCCTCTGACCTTGGAGCGGTGGCTGATGGTGCGCTGCAGGCTCCTCGCGGTCTCTGACACCAGGTGGTCCATGGTCCTCAACAGAACCTTCAGAGCCTCGCAGTCTCGCTCTTCGCCGCAGCACCAGGCCGTGACATCACCCCTCACCGCGCTGCGCTTCACCACGGGGGAGGGTCGCATCAGCTGACCCCCCCGCAGGATTCCGGAACGCTGCATGTCCATCACCCGCTCAAGTACCGCCCCCCCGGTGACATCACCCAGCACGCCGTCCAACCAGCAGAAGCCCTGAGAGCAGAGGGCGGGAACCAGGCGCTGCTGCACCAGAAGATCCAGGTCTGAGTCGCTGAGGCTGAACGCCGGTGCCATCTCAGAGACCAGGAGGGGACCAGGAGGAGACCAGGAGGGGACCAGGAGGGGACCAGGAGGGGACCAGGAGGAGCCCAGAGGCTGAGGAGGAGACAGGTGAGGTTAGTACAGCACAGTTCATGACTGAACACTTGGGAACAACCAGACCCATTCATTTTTAAGAAAGCAGCATGTTCATACCTGTTACAATAAAAAAAGCTCTCTTTGGTCTCTTCCTGGTCTCTCTCTCTGGAGTCACTAGTATCTCTCTGGTCTGTCCCTCATTCTGGTTTCTCTCTTTGATAAACCACATCTTATTTATGAGGGAAAAGTTTGGGTACCCCAGCTTTAAAAGTACATCGTCAGTTATTAAAACACGTTTCTTCTTCAAAAAATGTCTTTTTTTTGTTCATAAATCACTTCAAACAGTGTTTTTTTTATAAATCTCGCAGCTGGAGAAACGACATATGAAAAACACTCATGAAAAGTATGAATAGTTGAATACTGCACCTGGGAATGAGCGGAGCGGGTTCAGTCCAGAGTTATTGGGAAAACTCCCCGCAAAAAAATAAATTTCTTAAAAGAAATGAGTTATGTAAAAATCTATGGTCTCTGCTCTCTTCCTGGTATTTTGGAGATAAAATAGATAAAATATGCCTAAAAATCTTAACGAAACTCAGCAATTCAGCGGTAACAAGATAAAATCCTGTGAGAATCCTGAGGATTTCTCTGACATCAGCTGCAAAGTCAGAAGTTTGAGAAGAAGCTGGAGTCTGAGTTTAGGTGGAAGCAGCAGAGAGTTGTGGGCAGAGGACACGTGCGCACACGAAAACAAGACGGTCAAGTAGAAGAAGACAGAGCCGGGAAACGCGCATGCGCCTTCAGAATAAGACTGCAGAGAAGGAGACGCGAGAAACTCTGTTCAAATCATTGTAGATAAAGTAGACCTCTGGGGTTCCCAGAAGTCTACCATCACAGTAATAACCAGACCCTGCCCTGCTTAGCTCCAGAGGCCTGACAGAATGTGACAGAGCAGACAGAAACATGAGCTCAACATGAATGCGCTTTTATTTTGTGACTTAACTTCCTGTTCACGTCTCCAGTGACTCAGCTGGACGCAGGATGAGTGCGACGTGCTGACTGTGCAGTAGGCAGAGGGGAGAGGAGGGGGGAGGAGGGGGGAGGAGGGGGGAGGAGGGGGAGGAGGAGGGAGGAGGAGGGAAGGGTTGGTAGAGCGGTGGATTTGCTCACGTACTCCTATTGTAAGATAAGATAAACTGCACATTAGAGCAGAACAGAAGAAGACATAGGTTATGCCCAAATCAAACAGGATCTATTGTTTAAGATCATATAATTCAACAATAAAATCAAATTGAAGCCGCAAGCGGAGCAGGGAAACTCTGTGTGTTTATATGCACTTGTATACGCTCAGTAATTCTCTCTATAGAAATAAGCCAAAAATGTATACGCAAAATAGAAAAACCAAATGGCATGTTGTGTGTTCTGTTTGATTTGTTCACAGCATTTTACTTTTGTGCACAACTCACATGCATTTTTAAGGGAAAATTTAGGTACCCGAGCTTTAATTTTGGGAGTTTTGGTTGCGCTTCGGTAGGAGACACGCACTTGCAACAAGCTGGGGATGGTCTTGAACACGCGTCTATGGTCGGCGCTCCGGACACGACCACGTTACGAATGTGCGTTCACTGAGCTGTTGTCAAAGCGGCCACAGCTGCCCCGGGTCAGAATGGGGGAGGTGAATCCCGTCCGAGTACTTAGAGCAAACAACAGAAAGTGTCACACATTACACAGAAATTACATTTTCAGCAGCAAAAAGTCGGAAATTGTTGTCCGCCAAAAATGTTCATCCCTGGTTTACACAGACATGTTCGCTCCCGGCTCTAGAGGTAGAAATGCAGGAATGGGTTAAAGTAAAACATCACTTGCTAAGTGCACTTGTCCCAAACCTTTAGTTTGTTATACTGACTTCAAGTGTTTTCAAAATGATGGACATCCTGTTTGTGGCATGGCCATAATACAATCTTTATCTTTGAGGTGATAAATATGTGTACCAAATGTTGTAGCTCTAGGACCAACTAAATGCAAAAATGGTGGCATAATTTTTTCCAGGGAAAAAATGCTGAATACATCAATTTTTCGCAGGAAGTTATCTTTGAGTAAAATGTTGCTGCTATTCCTGCACGTTCAGGGGGTCACAATCACTCGCACCGGCAAACATGGCCCCTAAAGCCTGGATCCAAACGCATTCTAGGCCAAGGCCCACTTTAACTGAACATTATAGAACAGATTCTATTATATGGTTGTTTATCATCAATGCTGCAAGTTACTGTCATAATGTTAACTGAATTTTTTTCAAGGGGGTATTTAACATGGCTTTGAGGATCGGATTTGGCCCACGGGCCAGAGTTTGACATGTCTGCTGTGGTGGATTCTCAGAGTAGTCATCAGATGACTGTAAAAGCAGCAGATTAAGTGAGTAAATAAACTTCCTGATGGGTGTGTCCTGCTTTACTCAGCACCGTGAGCCTGATGCATTATGGTACCAAAACATTACGGCAGTTATTCTGAAAGGATTTCCTTTAAAAGGGGTGACATTTATTTGTATAGCACTAAAATAGATTTGGCTTTCATGTTTGACACTTGCCATGCTCTAAAAATGCACGTTTCAGAAAGTGAACAAATAATGTTATTTCTAAAACAAGAACATTTGTTTTGTTTTCTATAATCTTAAAGCTACCACCTTTCCCCTTATCATAAATATTTGGTCTACGACAAAAGATGAAATATGACAAATATTTCTACAACGACAAACCAGAGGCTTCTTACCCAAATACGTCTTTATTGACACAAAATGGAGGAATCTTTCCATTTTTAAGACACATATTTACAGAGGCCAGTGTTCAGCTGGACGTAAGGGACACTTCAGAATGTGCTTTGGAACCTCACAGATCAGTTTATCGTCTGCAACAGGAACATAAAAGTATAAACAACAGAAAAGAGACAAATATGAACTGACATCAACCCTAGAACTTCCAGGGCAGTCCTTTTGACGGGTTTTTGTTTTGGAAGTGTATAAAGTACATTTGAGGTCTTCAGTTTCTGTGTGTTCCATGTGTTGTTTATGTCTATGTCATTAATTTCATGAAATGATGTTGACATTTTGGTAATCAACATTCTATGACAAGTCCATTTCAAGGTCTTGGAGCTTGACCAAGCCTGGACTGGAACTGGTCCTGCTTGGTTTTCCACCAGTGATGAGCAAGTGCTAGTTACCATAGCAACACACAGTTTACTAGCAGCATTTAGCATTTGCTGCTAAATTTTCATCAGTTTTAGTCAGTGTATAAACCTCATAAGTTACTTTAAAATGGTGGAATCCCATTGATTTGAATGGGAGCAGTCAAAATGACGGCTCTGGGAGCTCGAGTGTTAGGACTGACCCTGCTCCAGGACAGACAAAGAACCAACATAAAAACATTAAGACATTTCTCTCCTGTTACTACTGTTCTCCAGTACAGTAGTAATCGACTATTAACTGTATTAGCTAACCCATCCCTCTGAAAGGTTAGCTAACAGTTAGCTAACCCATCCCTCTGACAGGTTAGCTAACAGTCAGCTAACCCATTCCTCTGAAAGGTTAGCTAACAGTTCTCTGATATCCTGCAGTCGTTTCACCTCAAAACACAGATCCACTTAAAAACATACAAAATGTCACATTTTTGTTTTCCACTGATCCACAGATGACGTCGTTCAAACCCCACAGTTCAACAATCTGCAGCTTCCACAGGAGGAGGTTTGACGGACAGGTGAGGGGCGGGGCTGAGGCGAAGGACTGTCATTGGACAATCTCAAAGTAGTGAAGGATGGCCATGATGTGTTGCGGCATGAAGACGTATCCTGTGTACACCGCCATGGCTGCCACCGAGACGAGGAGAGAGTCTAGGAGAGAGTCAAGGAAACAAAACTATACTATACTATACTATACTATACTATACTATACATAAAGCTTCTACTGAGACCAGGAGAGTCAGAGAGAGTCAACACAACTATACAACACTGAGACCAGAGTCAATGAAACTACACAACAGTAACTTCAGTGACCAGTGTCAGTAGGAGCCAGAGCAATATGGTGAGGAGCTCCATCCCACTGGAGGAGCTCAAAGTAGAGCTACTGCTCCTCCACATAGAGAGGAGTCGGTCGAGGTGGTTCATCTGTTTGGGGATGCCTCTGGACACATTCCTTAGGAGGTGTTCTGGGTCTGTCCCACAAGGAAGAGACCACGGGGGGAAAAAGCTGGAGTAAGTGTGTGTGGAGAGGGAGGCCTGTGCCTGCTCACACTGCTGCCTCCCCAACCCGGCAACGGATAAAGCGGAAGACTATGAATGGAAATTTAAATCTAAGACCAAGATTTATCAGGAATGCTTTGCCTGATATTCTTCTATTGTAATCTGAAACTAAAACGTGAAAAAATACCCTAAAAACAAGATCAAACATGTAGACTCTGTCCTAGACCTAATTTTGTTTTCGATTCAGCATTTTCCTTTTTCTTACCATTACCTTACCAAGTCACACACTAAATGCTAAGTCCTGCTTTGGATTGCATTTAATTACATAAATATTAGAACGTTGTTTTATCCACATAGATATAAAGTTGTATTTCAGCCATGTAAATAAAGTAAAGTTGAATTTTAGCCACCTAGCTAGTAACACGTTAAACAGCCATAATTAGGAACATTAGCGTTAGCACCGTTAGCATTAGCCACATTAGCTCCGCCCGCCAGAAGGATACTGAACACGGTCCTCTCCCAGGGTTCCAACATGTACAGCGCCGTCACAAGCAAGTATTGGTAATAAAACCACGACAGCTGCTTCCAACAGTCGCCCAGAGCCATGGTCCCCCTGCGCTCACAGTCCCGAGTCTGTTTTCGGCTGTTTTCTGCGTTTAAAGTGCAGTTATTTACGAGGTGTCTCGCTTCACGGACACTTCCTGGAATCTGGTGACGTCAGATCAGGAGTTCTCCGATTTGAACCAATCGGCGAGCAGCCTTACCAAATAAAAAATACAAGATTAAGAAAATATTAAGTTATTTTGAATGCAGACTACGTATGATACACTACTTATTAAAAAAAAAGGAAAAAAAACGAAAGACGTTGGCAGCCAATTATAATACATCCATGCGTTGCAATTACCAATATGATCCTCCGGGGGTCTTGTGTGTGTCAGTCTGTCATATGTGAAACACTGTGAAAGACGTCTTTGATCTGAACACAGGCTCTGGCTCCTATGGATTTACATGTAATAGTAAACTCCTCCAACCGTTTTCAACTCGTCATTTTGTGCTCTACTCTCATCTACTCTCCAGATTGTGTTTCCTCTACTGTGTAACCTAAAGTGTTTTAACTGTCACTGCCAGTCGCCCACTACTGTCGCCGGAGTGGGCGACAGTAGCTCAGTCGGTAGAGCATTGGCCTTTGGGCCTGAAGGTTGTGGGTTCAAGCCCACCGCAAGACCTACTTCACGACTCCCACTGATGACTGCTGTCGTTGTGTCCTTGGGCAAGACACTTAACCCCACTTTGCCTGAAGCTCCCACTGAAAGATCTCAGCTCCTGTGGACTCACCACCTGCAGGAGGATCAGTGAGGGGCTGGTGCTATGTGTACTGGGTGCAGCTCTGACTGCCACCCCCCCGACCCAGAAATGGATTAAGGGGAAGAAAATGGATGGATGATTGGCCGGAGTGCTGCTGGAAGCCATGGTTACCAAGGAATTTCCTTGTATACCGGTTTGTTTGTACAGTACTAAAAATACTAAAGGGTAGAGAAGGTAGAATTAAACCAAAACAACACAGACATCAGCTTCCCCACATATTTTTTATTTACAGGTTCATCGTTTTTCATAAAAAAATATGATAATCTTTGTCTCCAATATTAGAAAAAAGTATAAGACGGATGCTGTGGGATAATGCGAGAGTCTGCTCTGTTACTGAGAGTCTGCTTTGTTACTGTGAGAGTCTGCGAGTATATGACAGAAACACAGATTTCAAAACAATTTTCAAAGTATAAAACTCGCAAAAAAAGCCATTTTGCCTTTAACCAAAACACATGTATCTCAGACACTTGGTACCACTAGAACTCCCAGAGCAATTTGACAGCTTTGAGGTGTAATTACTGCATTCGTAGATTTATGGTCTGTATAAATTAGTTACCTTTTCTGTTTCTATTTGTAGTTTATTTCTAGGTCGTTATTTTAATAACATCGGTAGAAAACTGAACAGTTTTTATTCTTTGAATTCTATTGGTTTGAATCAGAGCAGTCCCTTTGTGTTTTTCATGTTTTAAAATCTGAAATAAATGGTTAAAAGATGTGGATAAACATTAAAAATCAAACGCCTCTATCTAGTGGCAGAAGTCTGGAACTACACATAGAACTAAAGGCAGCGTTCAGACACAGGGGCCATTGTTCTGCAGAACCTTTAGCAGAACACGAGTCCTTCCCGTTTTGAATGGTGGGAAATTCCAGTGTTGTAGTGTCAGAAGGGGGATACAGTCTGAGTGTCTGTTAGCAGTGACTCGCCAGGATGTTGAAGAAATGATACACTTCATCTTTGTCGTAAACTGCAACTTCTGTGGAGCATTCAGAGCATTGGACTGGGTGGTAGACCTCCTCCAAGTCCAGGCCCTGGGGTCTACGGGCCTGGTCCTGGCTAAGTCCCTGGTCCTGGTTCAGTACTGGTGCGGTCCCTGGAGCTTTGCGTTTGCGGCGATTCCGGAACTTGCGAGGGTCTGGTTGGGTCTTGTATCGAAGGACCTCGTCTTTCTTCACGTTGCAGTTCATCACAAACATGGCTCTGTACTGAGTGCGGTACTTTTCGTGCCTGAAAAGAAAAGAAAGAAAAGTAAGTGAACCTCAGCCTCAAACACAATCCTGAGTGAAACTAAAGACTAGAACCAGGAGCTCTCCAATCCATGTGGGAGAAGAGGCTATAACAATATAATATTCATTGATCTGGGCAGACATCTTTTTTGAGAGACCAGGGGCAGAGAGAGAGAGACAAAATAGAGAGATACCAAAGAGAGATAAACCATAGAGACCAAAAAAGAGACCAGAGAGAGAATACTGACCTCTGACAGTCCAGACACAGAGTGGTCATACAGGCCGGACAGTTCAACACTGCGTCACTGCTGCAACCGCCTCGAGAGCGCGCCGACGCTGCTCCTCCACCAGGGGGCCGGCGTCGCTGGTACCTGAAGAACACACAAACACATACCACCACTGAACACTAGTCTGAACCTCTGCATCACAAACATAAGTCCAAAAGCCTCTAGAGTCTACTCTAGACCCACCCAATCGCCTGACAGTGGCTCCCAAAGCAGTCTGACTGTTTGGTTTCGACATGGTTTAAGGGGATGCGTTTGGTAGTTGTTTTTTTGTTTTTGTTTTATTGCCTCACATCAAACAAAAAGGATGGATGGAGATTGCTGCTGTAGAACACAAACATATTCTAGAGAGAGACCAATGAGGTCTCTCTGACCAGCCTATCTCTCTGTTCAGAGAAACCAGAGAGATAAGCCCAGGGAGAGAAAGAGGCCAGGGCAAGAGACCAGAGATAGACCAGAGAAAGACCCACTGCTTCCTCTTGTTGTCCGCCCAGGCTTGGTCCCGGTCGTCTTCATCTGGGTCGTACAGAAGCTCATCATTGGTCAGAACGGTGCGCTGGCTCCGCTTCCGTCCATTGGAGCTACCTGCCGATCAAAAGTAAAATAAGAAAGGTTAAGTGAAACAAGAGAGAAAGTACAGGACGTTTCACTCACCGGCCGCGTCATCCTCCTCGGAGTCCGAGTCAAAGTAAATCTTGTCGTACATCTCAGGGTTCGCTGCATCAGAGGCTCTAGCTGCTTCTGAGACACAGAATGCAGTCACTGAAATGTGTGGTCTCCGCAATTAAATGGATCCAGAGTGAAATATTGCAATGTTTAATTAAAAAATATCTATTTCACTTTTGTGTTTTGTCTGAGTTAACTCTGGTCACGAAGGGTTTGTACATGAGTTAATATGCAGACTATAATAAATGTTACTTATGAGTTGAGTCTTTATTTTCCTCCATGTTTTCAATGTCTTTCCTGTCTTGTCTGTCATACCCCCGCCTGGAGCTGTGGCCCCCGTAGCACCTGGAGCTGCTCCGCCAGGAGCCCAGGTCCCCTCCATGCTCTTCATGGTGCTGCTAAGCTCCTCCTCCATCTCCTTCTCAAACTCGTCTGCGCTCGACGACTCGCTCTCTCCAGTCAGATACTCGCGAAGAAGCTTCTTTTTCTGCTGCAGCGTCCCGTTCAACAACACATCCAATTCATCCTCCGAGCTGCACACAGGAAATGTACCATGAGACCAGAGAGAGAGAGACCAAAGAGAGAGACCAGGGAGAGGGCAAAGAGAGAGAGAAACCAGTGTGTGCAATACAACTTAGTGTCCAATTAAATTTCAGCTCATCATACTATGCCAATGTACTTTAAATTGATAATCTCTAGAAGTATGCTCTTTGTCTGTGTTACATACATACGTTCTGTCCTGAAATCCAATTTTAAGAGCATTAACAAATATTTATATCTATGTTGTGTGCTCTTACTACTGTTCTGTATGTGCTGCAGACCGGAATTTCCCCGCTGTGAGACTAATAAAGGGTTTCTAAAGGTGAGCAAGACAGGGCAAGGCTCACTCAGCCGATCAGCTCTCAGCGCAAATATCCCCAGTGTAGAATAAACAACATATTTTATAACATGAAGACATGTGGTCTCACGTGTTCATCTCACATTTTACTTTTCCCTGCTTAGATTAACACGTAATTTAAGTACAACAGCTTTAAGTGAGTGAAACCAAAGATGGGACTATGTGACCTCCGTCTCTACCATGATCACAATTCATTATAAATACATGTTATTGTGCCAAAGCTCCTCGTCTCGTGGGTTTGTTTACAAGTTAGCATTAGCCACTTAGCCATGCGTTAGCTCCTCTTCACTCTTTAAAACGCGGTTAAAGACGTCACCTGCTCTCCGCCCGCTCCTCGTCACTCGGCTCCTCAATTTCGTATGAATCATAGTCCTGTTTGTTCATATTGTCAGATTTAAAGAACCAGATAAAATGAGTTATTAGCGCTGGCGAGAGGCTTTTCAACTGTTCTCGGGAGATACCGCTTCCTGGTGGCTCAGCGGACACAGTGCCTCTAGCGGGGAGAGAGTGACACTGCTTTGATGACAAAATCCAACTAACCTTTGCTTCACAATTAAGTAACACATGTGATTTGTTCCAAAAAGAGTCATAATCTTCATATTAGAAGAACACATTATACTTGCTCTTAGAACAATGTAACTTGCTGAGTTAGGGTGGTCCATTCTTTTTCAGTTTTCTGCCTGAAGAATTTGATCTAAAGATGTGACAAAGGCCAGAAATACATAAAACTAGTGACACAACCTTTCTCTCCCTATCTCTCTCTCACTCTCAGTCTCTGGACTCTCGTCCATCTCTTGTCTCTCTCTGGTAAATGTGGGTTATAAAGAAACTGATGCAGTACCGCTGATGTGCAGCAAAGGGCGCCACGCACCTGCTCTTAAAGATGATGAGCAGCAGCAGCAGTGTTTTTGCAGCAAGAGATAATCTCAGACATTTATACAACAGAAATCTGATTATTGAGAATTATTGAGAAAACTAAGATATACAGCCTCAGTGCTGGATCTACAGTATCATTCATCCCGCTTCCTATTTAGCAATGGCTCCATGTGGAGTAGAGTAAAGTAGAGTAGAATAGAGTAGAGCAAAGAAGATTAGGGTAGAGTAGATGAAAAGTAAAGTAGAAGAATAGAGAAGGGTAGAGTAGAGTATAGTATAGTAGAGCGGGGTAGAGTAGAGTAGGGTAGTATAGCAGAGTAGAATAGAGTAGAGTAGAGCAAAGCAGAGTAGAGTCTGTATTGTATGTACTGTAACAGTTTATCGATCGCTGTTATATTACAGTGGTGTTGTGATGACATATATCGCCATAGAAACAGACCCCCTCCCTCCCTGAGCTCTTCCCTCCGTCTGTCATAGAACCAGTGGATGTAATTACACATGTCAGCGCGTCTTCGGACCAAGCTGACTCCGATCCACCAGAGAGTTCACACCACAGAGATGGAGCTGTCCGCGGGTAGTCAGGCCTCAGTTTGAGATGCGTCAGAGGAGACTGCAGCTATGGAGAGACTCTGGGGACAGATCTGGACCCAAATTGGACTGGACCAGGACTGGAACAGGACTGGACTTAGACTGGACCAGGACTGGATGGAAACGCAACCATGTAGTGTGGAGAAGAGTAGATTAGAGAAGAGAAGAGTAGAGTAGACTAGACAAGAGTAGAGTAGAGTAGAGTAGAGTAGAGTAGAGTAGAGTAGAGTAGACAAGAGTGGAGTAGAGTAAGGAGACAAGAGTAGACAAGAGTAGGGTAGAGTAGACAAGAGTAGAGTAGAGTAGGGTAGACTAGAGTAGAGTAGAGTAGACAAGAGTAGAGTAGAGAGTAGAGTAGACAAGAGTAGAGTAGAGTAGAGAGTAGAGTAGACAAGAGTAGAGTAGAGTAGAGTAGAGTAGAGTAGAGTAGACAAGAGTAGAGTAGAGTAGAGTAGAGTAGAGTAGAGTAGAGTAGAGTAGACAAGAGTAGAGTAGAGTAGAGTAGAGTAGACAAGAGTAGAGTAGAGTAGAGTAGAGTAGAGTAGAGTAGAGTAGAGTAGACAAGAGTAGAGTAGAGTAGAGTAGAGTAGAGTAGAGTAGAGTAGACAAGAGTAGAGTAGAGTAGAGTAGACAAGAGTAGAGTAGAGTAGAGTAGAGTAGAGTAGAGTAGACAAGAGTAGAGTAGAGTAGAGTAGACAAGAGTAGAGTAGAGTAGAGTAGAGTAGAGTAGAGTAGACAAGAGTAGAGTAGAGTAGAGTAGAGTAGAGTAGACAAGAGTAGAGTAGAGTAGAGTAGAGTAGAGTAGAGTAGAGTAGACAAGAGTAGAGTAGAGTAGAGTAGAGTAGAGTAGAGTAGAGTAGACAAGAGTAGAGTAGAGTAGAGTAGAGTAGAGTAGAGTAGAGTAGAGTAGACAAGAGTAGAGTAGAGTAGAGTAGAGTAGAGTAGACAAGAGTAGAGTAGAGTAGAGTAGAGTAGAGTAGACAAGAGTAGAGTAGAGTAGAGTAGAGTAGAGTAGAGTAGAGTAGAGTAGAGTAGAGTAGACAAGTAGTAGAGTAGAGTAGAGTAGAGTAGAGTAGAGTAGACAAGAGTAGAGTAGAGTAGAGTAGAGTAGAGTAGAGTAGAGTAGAGTAGAGTAGAGTAGAGTAGAGTAGAGTAGAGTAGTGATGGTAGAAACTGGGCCTGTGTGTCTTAATGTATTACAAACTCAAAGACATTTTAGACGCTTCACCAACACGTGTCTGTGAATGGTTGGTGGTGGTGGGAGGGGCACATACTGGCGGCCTCTCTTCTGTCCATGTGCCCCAGGGCAGCTGTGGCTACAGGAGTAGTTTATCACCACCCTGTTTGGAGTGAAGTAATTGTGAAGCGTCTTCGAGTGTCCTGAAAAGCGCTGTATAAAATCAATGCTTTATTATTATTGCCTTATTATTATAACACACATGAGAGTGTTTTAAAGCTGCATCTCTGAGTTTGTTTGGTTGTGGTTGTCAGAGCGACCACCTGCTGGGTGTATGGCCTTGGAGCTGCCTCCTGCTGCGTCTGCTGCAAAATACTGCTGCTTCACAAAACCCCATTCACACAGCAATCAGCAATTAGCAATAACCGTATCACATGTAAATATGGCAGTGTGTGCGTGCGCAGCTGGACCTTTGTTCCTCTGAGGTTCAGAATCGGCTTCTTCTTTCGGAGCCAGAATCTGTGTTTCTGCAGCGGTTTCTCAGAGATGCAAATCAGTGCGCTGTGATTGGTCTAGAGGCAGGAAGTGCAGACAAAAGCAGAGAAGGGGGGAAAGGGAAGTGGGGCATAAGAGGTTTGAGAGGGTTAGGGTTTGGAAAGGTCTGAACCAGGTCTGAGCCGGGTCTGAACCAGGTCTGAGCCAGGTCTGAACCAGGTCTGAACAAGGGTTATACAGGGTCTAAAGCAAAGGAAGAACCAAGTCTGTCCTTTTCCAATGGTGTGTTGGGTTTTATTCAAATGATGTTGAACCTTTTTGTTTAGTCCTGCTTTAGACTTGCATTTGCCAAGTTTCATTCTCTGCTTTAGGTTGACAAAATCACGAGATGACATCCAAAGACTAAATGCAGTGAAAGAGAGTAGAACCAGTCCTGATTTGATCCTGGTCCTGGTCCAGTCCTGGTCCAGGTCCAGGTCCAGGTCCTGTTTCTGGTCCTGGTCCTGGTCTTGGTCCTGGTCCAGTCCTGGTCCGGGTCCTGGTCCTGATACATTCTCACAGTGATAATGGCGTTCTCTCTCAGTCGGTTTCTTTCTCTAAAATAAAGCGTTTGTTTCTCACGGCTCTGGCTCTAATTGGCTCCACACGTCACAGCTGTCAATCAAACTATGAAAGAACCGGGGCCAGGGGCCGAAGCTGGGCCCCGAGGTGTGAGCCGATAATTATACAGGAAGCAGGAGCGAGAAGGACTAAAACAGGACTAAACCAGGACTAAAGCTGTACCAAGACAGAACTAAAGCAGGACTAAGAAAGGACTAAAGCAGGACAACACTTACTGTGTGTAAACGCCGGGATCACAGAGAGCACTGAGATTTCAGCCCAAAATGGTGAATGAGACACAAACGGTTACTGAGCTAGCAGAGTTTACTTTTACATGGGAGTCAATAGGAGACAGAAAGAGGAGCCAAACTTCACCATGAGCACTTCATTGATTTTAACGGGTTAGCATTGTCCACCCGTATGCAGTCTATATTAAAAGACAAGACGAAAAGTCCAACACCCGTGTGAGAGTGACTCAAAAGGCGGTGAGAGCAATCAGTCCTGTCTGGAAGAATGTGCCAAAATTCCAGCATACTGTACACAGAATCTAATGGAAAGAATCACCATACACTTGAAAAGTTGGGGTCGCAATCTATTGTCCCAACAGAAGTAAGGACCCAATCAGACCTTGACATATGTCTCTATCCTGTCAGAAAACAGTTTATATTTGGTTTAAGAAAGAGCCCTGTGAGTCACTATTTGCCTCTTTGGGCTGAGAGCTGATTGGCCGATTAAGGGTTGTCGTCTGTTCACTATTCTGTCTCTCTACATGCTTAAGACAACTAGTATAAAATCTCTGGTCTCTCTCTGGTTCCTCTATGGTCTCTCTCTGGTTTCTCCATGGTATCTTTCTCTGGTCTCTCTCTGGTTTCTCTCTGGTCTATTTCTCTGGTCTCTCTCTCTCTGGTCTCTCTCTGGTTTCTCTCTGGTCTCTTTCTCTGGTCTCTCTCTGGTTTCTCTCTGGATTATCTCTGGTCTCTCTCTGGTCTCTCTCTAGTCTATTTCTCTGGTCTCTCTCTGGTTTCTCCATGGTCTCTTTCTCTGGTCTCTCTCTGGTTTCTCTCTGGTCTATTTCTCTGGTCTCTCTCTCTCTGGTCTCTCTCTGGTTTCTCTCTGGTCTCTTTCTCTGGTCTCTCTCTGGTTTCTCTCTGGTCTCGCTCGCTGGTCACTTTCTGGTCTCTCACTGTGGTCTCTCTCTATGGTGTCTCTCTGGTCTCTCTTTCTGGTCTCTCTTTCTCTTTTCTATCTGGAAAATGGGATCTAAAGCTGTGACAGAAGCCTGTGTTTTAGAGCCAGGACCAGAGACATGTTGTTGCATAGTTCCATAGTTTATGGTGTGAAAGTTACGTACCTCAGCTTTAAAGGTGACTGTACTGAATGAATGAACTGTATGGAATGAATCAGATGTCACTTTTACATCAATATTGAATACAGGGATTTGATAATTACCCCATGAGGACCTCCACACGGCCTCGTCCTCCTCCTCCAGCTGCTCTCCTCTCCACAAAGCCTCTCTCTCTATTGACTCCCTGTGTGTGTTGTGTGTGTTTGTGTGTGTCTGTGGGTGTGTGTGTGTGTATTGTGTGTGTTGAGTGTGTGTGTGTGTTGTGTGCTTGGCGCCTGCTGTGTCTTTCTCTCTCTGACGGCT